ATCTACGATATCTGCCCCTTACAAAAACAAAAAAATAAGAAATTTCTATGAATACAAACAAAATTACAACAGTCAACAGTTAAACAAAGTAACATTTAAAAATAAAAATCCTCCGACATATCCGGCAATATCTCGGCAGAAGGTGGACCAAACAGCGAGAAATTTGGAATACAAAAAGGCTGAACATCTACAAACGGAAAGACATTAACAATACATCATGCACACAACTTGAACAAAAGTTAATGACACTTTTATGGAAGTAAGTCATATAACACCCGGCTGCCTTTTTAATACACAGTGGCATTGAGCCAAAACCGTTGAAATTCTTCCAGAAGGCTTCTCTGCTCGCAAAAATTTTCACTCCAAATTGGAAGTGAAACGGACTATAATATATATACTAGTTCGCGTTCCAAAGGGCTGTTTTTAACATGCAGTGGATCGATAAGTTCTCTGTGCAAGAATAAAACGCTGAAATTACATAGGTACCTTTGGGTAGACCAGAAAGTAATCAAGAATTGTGCAGGTTGACAATGCTAGGGCTGGAAGCAGATTCGAGCGTTCCAATTTGATTATAAGATGCGATCACCACCCATAACACTGTGCACCACTATCGAGATGGTTTTTGTGGAACCCCTTGAGAGTTGAAACGAAATTATAAAACCAGACCGTCAAAAAAGTTAACGAGGAATGGATAGGTAGGCGAGTGGAAAACAAGACTGTTTAAGGATGGCATGCCAACTGATATTTATGGGGGCTTCTCCAGAGAATAACTTTTCCCACAGTTGCAGCGCTATTTTTTTTTTTCGTAATTTTTTTTTTTCGTCGCTTTCCACTCATAGACATGTAACACATTTAAGATCATATCATCTTATGAGCAGTGTTAGTAACGGGACCAACACTCGGCAGAAATTCACGGTTTCATCGGTGCTTAATTTCTGCCGCTTATTGTAGAGGCTTATTTTTTGCTTCATTCTTAAGCTTACAATCAGTTTTTGTTTGGTTCAGTCATACTCTTAAACAAGGTTAACTACCGGGCTCTCACGAAATTGTTCACTAATTTTCTTTCGCCTTTTACTCTTACTTTCTTTCATTACACCGTCAAAAGTTAATAGTCGAGTTTAATATCGTAGCACAATTGCAGGAACCAAAATTATTTATATATCCGAGGCAAATTTGCTCACGGTTTTGCAGCAGTTTGCTCGTGTTTTATAGCAGTATGGCATTTCGAGGGGCTCTCACTTCCTTGATATTTCAACCAAAAACCAGTGGACCACTCACTTGCCTCTCATCGTACCACAAAAAAGTGATTGATCATTATGAAAATCCAAGAAATGTTGGGTCTCTGAACAAAGACGACCCTTCTGTTGGTACTGGGATCGTTGGAGCACCAGCATGTGGAGACGTCATGAAGTTACAGATAAAGGTAAAGTTAGAAATCTATTTTTGAATAACTTAACTCGGGAAGACCTTGTTTTTCTTTCCACGCGCTGTTTAATCTCGTTCAAATCCTGCTTCAAAATTTAACCTTGTTCAGGTCGACGACAATGGAAAAATTATTGATGCCAAGTTTAAAACATTTGGATGTGGATCTGCAATCGCTTCCAGCAGTTTAGTATCTGAATGGATTAAGGGCCAAACTATCGAGTACGCTTCAAAAGTTAAGAATGATTCCATAGCAAAAGAGCTGAAACTACCTCCGGTCAAGTTACACTGTTCAAGTCCGTTTTCCTGTCATTCTTACTACATCCGTTTCTTAAGGAAAGTTAGATTATTTTTGTAAACGGACCTTTTAGTGCTGGCTGAAGATGCGATCAAAGCTGCTCTGAATGATTACAAAAGGAAGCAGAAGAAGAAACCGTCTTCTTGAAGCATTTTAAATCCTTTTGAAAAATACAGATGTTACATACTCCTTACAAAAATTCTTGTGTTAGTTAGTTTTATCTCTCTCTCTCTTTCCATCGCGTTAAGTTGTATTTCTAGAGCGGAGGAAATACAACCGTGAATCGATATCACTGTAGCATTTTTTGTTCAAAAAGAAGGATTTGATTGCTTGTTTTTAGATACCGTTAACTATTACTTGTATGAAACTGTTTAATAGTCAAGGAAATTGATTTCACTCATCAGTTAGCTGGTAAGGAGGCCTGATTTAGTTACCAGCTTGTCTTATATGAATTCGCATTTAGTTCTACTATCGTGTACTGTCGTCTTCCCTCGTTTCTTATCTCTGCTGACCTCACTGTAGCAGTCTTACAAGTCATCGCTGAATTTTACTGTTGAAAGTACCTTCAAGTCCAACCAGTTATTAAGGGTTTTCGATTTTCCTTCATCTTCATTGCTTACCACAGATATTGTGGTTCTCGTTTTCAGTTGATGATAGAAACTGACTTAAGTTAACTGACGCTCAGCTTCTTAGCTGTTTTGCCTTCCTAACCAGTTGTACTATATATATATGTACATATAAATAGGGCTATCAGTAAGGAATGACTTGGATTGGTTAAACTTCGATTCTGTAGATGTACTTTGTGAAGAATTTTATCAGTGTACCTCATTGTAGTGTCGAATTCCTCCCGTGTGGCACAGCAGTTGCCTGCTAGTAATGTCTACTGGTAGGCCATTGTACTTCTTCGCTGGGTAGTTTGGCAGATAATCCTGTGTATTAACGGGAATTTAAAAACGAGTATTATCATAGGCAGAATAAGTAAATTTATTGAACGGATTTGACTTCGGCAGTTGCCTTTTAAAAAGACTGCAATCTCTTCAACAGTTTTATGCTCTCTAATCCTTATTTTAACTAAAATGTTATGAATAAATTACCTTTATGGAAGTATCTAGGTCTATTGCTCGGTTCTGGACTAGGCGCGCAGCAATAACTGCTGTAATCGATTTACTTATACTGGCAATACGCATTGTTGTATGCCTGGTACATGGAACTAGTTGTTCGACGTCTGCGAATCCGTATCCTTCTTGCATTACAACCTCTCCATTAAGTGATGCTCCAACTGCTAGTCCAGGCACGCCATTACGTATCTTAATTCTGACTACAAGTTACCTCAGAGGAAATGATGCTCTTCGGGAAAAACGACTCAGTGCCTGCTTAATAGAACATTTTTTAAACGCTCATTGACATCTTTTTGCAACTTCTATCCTTATCGTCAAGTTGGTTCCCCTACTACTCCCTAAAATACCTCTCAACTTTTAGGACACAATCGACGACTTTAAGCAATTCGTAATAATTTCTTTAGTCTTAATTTCACTCTTTTAATTAATTGCAATCTACCAATATTGCTCTTATGTATTGCTCTTATGCAGTTTAGTTTACTGATTAGTTTGTGGAGCTGGAACGTAATTGAAATAAGCAGATTATTAAGACGCCTCCCAACAATAACCATTATTAAAAAACAGAATCTGACTTAAGGCAGGTAGCAGCTTGTTGTGTTACACGGATCTCATCACTGAACTAAACCGGGATCAAAAAAATGTTATTAGTGATAAGAATTTATCTTTATTAGTGCTACTTTTTTAATGAAAATCTCCTATCGCTAAAAATTACAAAGAAGGTTAGTTTTGAAAACTACTAAATTCCCAAAAAGTCTCCAATTATTAAAAGTAAATACTAACCATGAATCTTCTTATTGCTTCTGTTGCTTTCTTCTGACAGATGCGTAAGCAATGCTCCTCCTTTAGACGATCCGACTCAAAAATCTTACCTGCAGTCAATAAAGATGCAGCTACAGCAACGGGATACAAAGCACGCGTAAACATAGATTTTGTGAACAAAACCGGCTTTTGGTCTGAAAAAAGGACCGTTTTAAAGAGCGCAGTAAGATAAATATGAGTAACTTCTTTAAGCGTGTAAAAATTGGTCTCCTTTTTTTTCCGTCTACGACTCAGCTCTTGCCTTTACGAGGTATGACAATGAGCGCGATCATACACGAAAACGTTTATGTGGTATCACTGTACTTCCTGATGGATCTTCATTCGCCCCAGCTCAAACAATAGTATCAAGCGGTTAACCAAGTCGACAAACAAGCAGACAAGATTAGAAGACTTGAGAAACTAAAAAATTATGTCTTTTTGTCCTAAAGAATTCTTACAGCAGATGCCAGATCGTTATTTGTGATTTAGAAGGAGAAATTCCCACAGTGTTTTATTCAGCCAATACGTTTTAAATTTCGGAAAGTAAATGCAGCTGCCACTGCACAAAATTTCTAAACTTTACATAACTGAGGTTGTCTTCGCACTTTGCTTTCCCTGCTTCAATTACTTTTAACCTATCGAATTTTTCTTAAGAAATGACTGTGATCAGAGTGAGTGTGATATTGGAAAACCACGCCAAAACAATTAACAGTTATAAAAACTAGAGCATGATTTATTTCAAGTGTGATGTCCAGATCTTCCTCTTTATTTTTTAGGGATAGGGACAGCTGAAAGAGTCTTTGACAGTCCAGATCTGTCGCTGCTATGCTCATTCAAACAAAAACTGCCGTCATTCTCATACGATTTTGTTCTTGTGCCGTTTTCTTCTCGCCTAAGGCGACCTGGAATTTTTCAAGTCTTGCGTACTAGGCGAACAACATTACGAAGTAGCGTGTGAAAAGCAGCTCTTATCACTACGACTTGTTGGTCTGAATTAAATGCACCGAACCACATAGTTTCCTTCTGCAAGCTGAATGGACCCTTTCAGGTGGGAACAAAATCAAAAGGAGTCGGAAGCGACTTTTCCGTTTTGCAGTAATTGCAGAACTTGCTAAATTTCACCAAGAAAAACATAGTAAAACTGACAAATTTCAACAGTATAATTCTAGGGCTCTGAAGTCTTTTTAGCCTACCATAGCTAATATGCAGTCGCGTTGGCCAAAAACGTTACATTTTATTACTTTTGGAACGTAAGTAATATACATAAATAGCATGTAATATACATATATACATAAAAAACATACTAGTAATTACAGACAATATCTTCAGCAATAGATATAATCTATTATGTACAACAGGAGAGCTCATTACACTCCCCCAAAAAAATCCTCCAAAATGCATATAAACCCGCTCAAGTAGAAGCTGCATTTGCAACTATACATTAAAGTAACTGCAAATGTCTTGTTCACCGAAGTTCTACTACCCGCTTACAGGAGCTACCGGCATCTCAATCAACGTATGGGTGACGTGCGCCTTCTCACCATTGAAACATCGTATGCATATCTTAGGCCTCATTACAGCACAGATTCTTTTTTCTAAAAAAGTCAAAAAAATTAAAAATTAATCTGGAGAAGAAAAGAGAAGAAAGTTAATGAAGTTTTTTCTCATAATTAGCAATGAATGAGCTCGATGCTATCATAATCATCTCTCAAAACCAGCAGGAATAGTTATCTAGCCTGCAGATCCATAAATTTAAAAAGCTCACAATCGTTCAAAGTTTCTCCTCGGTTGGAAATACATTAATTCATATTAACTACTCAGTTAAAAAACAGTTTTAACAGAGTTATTTCAAAAAGTAACAAGCAGATCAATAATCATACGTGGCGGTGGTAAAGGATGCAATGTTGGATCCGGAGTAGCTGCTGATAAGTGATAAGGGCGTTTACTAGCAAACATAGCACGCGAGAACATGATTAGACACTGAAAAAAATCACTGAAATTTTGTTCAAAAATTTAAAAAATAATTGGGCACCAATAACGCAACGTGAAGAATTGGCGAGATATTATTTGAATTCAAAAGAACAGCTGTTCTTGTTCTTCTCGGCATTTTCATTTTCATTAACAGAGAAATTTTCAAATGTTACTTTGAAACACTACTTCTACTAGACCCTTCACTAGTCTACCAGCAACCTAATCAGAGCTGATAAACGGAAGCTCTGCAGCAGTAAAAATGAAATCTGTTGAGTAGCAGGAATCGACCGCGAACAGGTCACTTAAAAAATGTTGAATCATAAACTTCAACATTAGCATGTTAGCAATAGCTGCAAAGCTGGACCGTACCTTAAGACAATGGCCATCAAACAGTCAGCGCTCACGCTACACTGGCAAAATAGCTAGACCACTGATGTTTATATAACGTGGTCTCTACACACAAATTCCAACCAACGGCTTATTGTCAATGTGAAATTTTTGACGCCTATCTTAAAAATCATTATCATCTATCTATGAAACTGTTACTAGATTCGAAACCTGCATTACTTTTTTCAACGACAACTGCAAATAAGTAAAGGACGAGCGCTTATAACATTTGTCAAAGTGCCAATGACCATAACTTAAGCTGCACAAATAGCTCTTTTTCAGTGTAATGACTGTACTGAACACGTCACTTAGACGTAAAAGTTCTCAAAGCACAAACCTTTCCTACTCCTCCACTTGCACTCATACGCCACGTGATACATAATTATGGACATGAAGCAACCTGGTTATTAGTTTCTGCCTTTCTCCTCCCCCACACATCGGTAGGGCCAAATTTCGCAGCCAAGCAATAAAATTTCTTGGAAAGATTTCTGCTGCTACATGCCACCAAAAAAAAAAAAAGAAATAAAAAAGCAAAAACAAAGCAAGACTAACCAATTATTGTATTCCAAAAGAAAAAAATCACGTTTGTTCATTCAACTCTCAATGACAATAATCGAAATTTTACATTGAAAAAACTCCTTCTGTATTGACGTAATGATGGGTGCGTATGGTACTTTTGTTGATGACAAGCTTCGTCTGAGATTCTTCGGTTTTTTAGAATTTTTACCAAATGTGGTTCAAGAGATGGAAATTTCAGGAAAAATGACAAATAGAAGCAGTTTTTGAAGTTCTTCTGGGGGTACACTACATGTGCACTCATCCATCAACTATAATGTTCCCGACAAAACCGATGATGGCTGCTGTAAGAAACAAAAACTGTAATGATTCAATGAATTATCACATTGCCACACACAAGTGACTGAAATCGCTAAGAAAGAGTTTAGATTCTTGAAAGAAAAACACCTTCAGA